GAAACAAAAATTCTGGTGTGGAAATGTGGCCGATATGCTAATGACAGGAAGTCCACCAAGCATCAAAGTCCATCATCTCTCTTCCTGTACTCATTTCATACTTTCATGAGGCACAACTTTGTTATTTTTTAAACTATGTACATATTTGTTTTTAGAGAGAGGGAGACTAGAAACATTGATGTGAGAAAGAAACATCAATCACTTGCCTCTTGTTCACATCCTGACGGGAACCCACACAGACGATTTATGGTCTGCGGTACGATGCGGAACCAACTGAGCCATGGTGGTCAGGGCCATGAAGTTTACTTTTAGTCAGTTAACTTAAGGTCATCTTTAGCATTTAGGCTTTTGGTCATACTGAAAAGTTTTCATTTTATTTTATGCTACCTTTCATATAAAATATATACAATGCATATAAAAACTAAATAAGTCAATTTTATGTACTTGTTTAAAACCTACTTTAAAATGTGTTTCTTGATATGAGAGGTTATATGTACACTTAAAATGTGTTTCTTGATATGAGAGGTTATATGTACACTTAAATTACTTAAGTATCTTAAATTAACTTAAGATATATATATATATATACACACACACACAATGTATGTATGTTATTCTTAGTATTTTATTGACTATAGGCAATATGAAAGTATCTTTTTCAGATGAATGAGACTGATTTTGTGTTTCAATTGATTAATGCTTGGGCACATTTGAATAACTAGTCAAAATGAAAGCAGAAAAGAAAAAATTATAATGTAATATTAAACTTCCCTACTTATTTTCTAATGTGCTTATTGATCAAAATATTATTAACCAGTTGACTGAAAGTTAGAAACTCTAACTCTAAAAAAAATAGAAAATATATTTTTAAAAATATATTTTATTGATTATGCTATTACAATTGTCCCAATTTTTTTCCTCTTTGCACCTCTCCACCTAGTATCCCCATTCCCTCCAGCAATCCCCCTCGTAGCTGATGTCTATGGGTCACGCACATAAGTTCTTTGGCTGCTCCATTACCTATACTGTTCTTATCATCCCCCTGTCTACGTACCTATCAATTTGTGCTTCTTAATCTCTGCACCTTCCCCCTCCATTGTCCCTCTTCCCCCTGACAACTGATAACTGTTCAATTGATCTCCATATCTATGATTCTGTTCCTGTTCTGCTTACTTGCTTAGTTTGTTATTTGTATCCAATCATTGATAGTTGTGAGTTTATTATCACTTTAATGTTTGTCACTTTGATCTCCTTCTTTTTCATATATAGTTCTCTTTACTATTTCATATACTAATGGCTTTGTGGTGATGAACTCCTTTAGTTTTACTTTGTCTGGGAACCACTTTATCTGCCCTTCCATTCTAAATGATAGCTTTGCTGGATAGAGTAATGCAGTTGTAGGTCCTTGCTTTTCATCACTTTGAATACTTCTTGCCTGCACAGTTTCTCCTGACAAATCAGCTGACAGTCTTATGGGAAAGCCTTTGTAGGTAATTCTTTGCTTTTCTCTTGATTGATTTAAGTTTCAGTTTCCTTCCCTTCCCTATTGGTTCCCTGTATATTTTTCTTTATTTCACTTAATGCAATTTTTATTTCTGCCTGGGTTTTTTTTTTGTTTTTTTTTTTATGCCTTTGAACTACCCAAAGAGTTCCTGGAGCATCTTGATAAATAGTGTTTTGAACTGTGCATCTGATAGGTTTCTTATCTCCATTTCACTTCATTCTTTTTCTAGAGTTTTGTTCTCTTCTTTCACTTGGGCCATATTTCTTTGTTTCCTCATTTTGGCAACCTCCCTGTGTTAGTTTCTGTATATTGGGTAGAGCTGCTTTGACTCCCTGTCTTAGTGCACCTATTAAGTTGTATGGGGCAGAGCTTTAGGTAATCGCTAAGGCAGGGCCACCCATAACACCGCTCTGTTGCTCTATGTGGGGGAGAATCCGCAGAGGTGACCATGTTGCTGCCTGGCATCTGGAGTTTTGCCTCGGAAGAAGCTGTCTCTCCACTCACACTTCACTTTCTCTCCATGTGCCAGCTGTTGCCCTGGTGCTGAATCCCAGAGGGGGTGTGTCTTCCTGGTTCCTAAGTCCATTTCAGGCCTTTTAGGAGGACACAGTTTCTCATGCTGCCCTAATCCCCACTGGTTTTTATAGCCAGAAGTTATGGGGACTTATCTTCCTGGTGTTAGGACCTTGGGCTGGGTGGTCTAGACTAAGGCTGGGATCTCTCCTTCTGAAGTATCCCTCCCATTTTTTATCCACCACATGTGGATGTGGGACCTCCCGTTCCTGTCTCTGCACCTCTCTGCATCACTCTGAGTCTCCACGCTTCTCCATGCCTCTCTGCATCTCCACCCCCTTCTAGTCTCGATGAATGTGGCTTCTTTGTCTTCTTTTTTAAATTTACTATTATGTCTTTATCTGAATATGGCTTCTTTAAGTCCTTGGTTGTTGGACTTCCACACAGCTCAATTTTATGACAATTCTGGGTGAAATTTGTTTTGTAATCAAGTTCTATTTTTTTGCTATAGTTCTGTGTGGAAGCAAGGCATGCTCACCTTCATCTTCACGGGAAGTCAAAAACCCCACTTTCTTGAAGAACACCTTGCTATTATACCTTAGGTAAATATTTTGACCTCAAAGCCTTGGTTTACTTCTTTGGAAAAATGTTAATGTACATTTTGAAGTCACATAATAAAAGAGAGCTAATTTCCTTGCTCATCAGTCACCATATTGAAGTCAAATAATACTTCCTGTGTAATTGTACCTTTTTGGATTTAAGAAGACACAAAATGAGTTACTGGAAAGATCTTAAAGTCAAATTGCAATATCAGATTAGAAATACATTTCTATTTTTAGAAAAAAGCCATTTCAAACTCTTAGTTACTAAAGAATTAATTTCTAACCCAACAATTTCTTATTCCTACAAATAAGGATTTCAAAATCATTAGTCTATTCACTGTGAAGTAATAGCCAACAAAGTAAATCTTTGTTCACATAAACAGAGCCAAAGCAGCAAAATGACCTGGTGTGAAAGAGCTCAAGTTAATTGTTTCATTCTAGTTTTTTGGTTGAGAAATGAATTCTGTGATTTAAAAAATCACAACAAAGTCCACATTGGAAGCTTCCTTAGGAATCCTACTAAGTCTTAGAAAATTAGTGTTGCTACTTTAAATATACCTGAATTTTGTGTACCTGTCATGATTATGGAATTCTTACCTGGCACAGCTCTAAGATGGCATGAAATATTCTTGCAAATGCTAAGATAGATCATCTTAATTTTTATTCGATCAAAACTGGTTCTTGCAGGATTCACCCTTTTCAATAATGTATTGTAATTTTTTTCTTTGTATCCTCTGCTTTTCCCAGTCTTCCGAATTGATGTATGGAGGCGTCATATGCCACCCGAAGCATGGAGCAGTGTGGTGTGAAGGGAGGAACAGAAGGCGGAGTTCAGGTTCTGAAGTGCCTCCTTCATTGGTTTCACACAAGCTTTTTGTTTTCCTCGTGTCAAAAGCTAACCGTTTGTTATACGTCTTATTTTATCTGTTATAAAGCTGTTATTCTTGGTGAAGTTTGGATTTCAGAAAGGAACTCTCAGCTATTTTGGGAGAAATCTACGAGGAGTTGCTCTCTGCTGAATGACAAAAAGGAAAGCCACCTTTGTGGCACTAGGGAAAGAGGGCATCATATCTAAGTACAGTTAGAGGGCCAGGCCTGGCAATGCCCACATACACTGTTGGGTCAGTTATTCCCTTTGACTGACCCCAGCAGCAATAAGAATAATGACAGCAACAAAGGCAACGCGCTTGACCAAGGAAATAAACACTAAAGAATGTGATCTATAAATTCCAAGCTGATAATCTGTAGGATAAAGTTAATTATGATTTTAATTTGTACTTAATAAACACTCTATTTTTCATTTAGAGGACCAGTTCCAGAATAAATGCAATGTGCTAAAAAACTTTTTAATCTTCTTTTATGATAACCATTCTTATGAATTCTCAGCCTACTAGAGCTTTTTCTGTTACTTATAAATTACCTGCATATTAACATTGGTTAATCGTACTTCATTTTTCTCCCTATGGAATATTCAGGCAATATGCAATAGCATCAGTGATAACACATCCATTTTCACAGTGAAGGTGCCTCAGTCCAGGCGAGGCTTGGTCTTAGTGGTAAAGAAATAGCTGAAGATCCTTTTCAGGGATTGATGATGCCACATACCATTGAAAAGTCTCGGCAATCAACTCATCATGATCTTATTTTGGCAATTCATTTCTCCCAAATTAAAACATAAATTTTTAAATAATTTCCAGGCAACTTAGAGGTGTCTTTCAGATATCGATTTTTAGACTCATTATTTTTTTCTAAAAATACAAATTTTTTAAATGTAAAAAGTGAAAATTTTATAATATTTTATCAATAAAATTTAATATTTTATTGACAAACTGACAAAAGTTTGTCAATAACATAAACTAGAATAATATAAAGATCTAATATTTTTAGTTTTAGGGATTTGGAAAAATCTGTGGATCACTTCTTAGAAATCTTAACACAGACCCAAAAGAGGAACTTGTAAATTTTTAAAAAATATATTACATGTATGCATATATGTAACAACACAAACCACATATCAAAATTAAAAAATCTACTTTTTTTATCCTCACCTGGGGATATGTTTTTATGGACTTCTGAGAGACAGAGAGATATAAACATCAGTGTGAGAGAGAAACATCTGTACCCCAACTGGGGATCAAACCTGCAAACCAGGTAGGTGCCCTGACCAGGTATTGAAACTGCAAACTTTTGGTGTATGAGACAATGCTCCAACCAACTGAGCCACCCAGCCAGGGTGAAAAAAAATCAACTTTGGATTGAACCGCCAGCGATTTACGACAGAAAGGAAAGCAGGCAAACAAATGCGAGAGACTGACCAATGCGTGACACATTCACAGTTAGAAACCAGAGCTTCCTTAAGGTGCCAGACAGAGCGGACTGACCTTTTTTGGCGAGGCTACTGTTGGGTTCATACTTCTCAATCAATACTTGGACTTGCTCTTGCTTTAAAGGTGGGTAAAGTATTTCATTTAGCCGGGGATCTCGCTGCTTAAGATTGATAAAATCCATCATCTGATCAACGGTAAGGTATGGTTTGCTTTTGGCACCACTAAACACAATTCAAAACCATAAATTAGAATATTTTCCACTAAGTCTCACCCACATATTTGCATTTAGCTAATGCAATGGTAGCGAATCCTGCCATACTTGGTAAAAGCATGTTTTACTGAAATGCCTATCTTGTCTAGAGAACACTGTACTGCTTGGCTGCAACTGCTGCATCTCTGTAAACTACTAATATCTTTTGCAATCACTGCCACAAAATCCCAATGACCTCCAACAATACTAAATGCATAAGAAAATCCACAGTATAAAAACACTAACTACTCTAACTTCAACACGGAGGTATGGGCTGCTTTTGATTATCATACTATACTTCTGGATTTGCCATCAAATTCTCATATCTGATTAATCACTTAAAAGATGCAATTATTACTCATCACTAAAAAAAGTAAACAATGTGTTTAAGTACATTTTTCTTTTCATTAAATTTGCATTTCAGCCAGGAGTCTATAATTCTTCTTTAAAATTTGATTCAAGCTTCCCTTTTTAATCTTGTTGACAGCCCAAAGTCAAGTTCCACGGTACACATATTGCATGTGTTCAGTAAATAGATGATGGCAATGAACATTAGCAAGTGAATATATCCAGTGTGATTCTCAGCAGCACCGTTTGCCTATCTTCAATATGAAGAAATACTCATTTTATTTACTAACTTTGGATTATTTGTTATCATGTAGATTTCAGTATATCAAAAAAGTTAATTGTTACTTCCCCACATTTGCCTTAGTGTCTTGCTTTGTTTCTTATTTGTTCATTCATTTAAAAAAAAACAATGTCTATATAATTTCTAAGATAAAAGCAAGTAATTTTCAGCTGGGAGAGTTTTTCATGACCTGAACTTCTCACTTCACTAATGTGATTCAGAGGGGTAAAGATGGCTAGTTCCCAGTTCATAGTTCTTTCTGCACCATGAGTCAGTCTCCACCAAGCTGCCTCTGTTCTAGCCATAGTATCCAAATCACACTGAGCCCCTGAGAACACTGAAACAGCTACACCCAGCAACAAATAAATCATAGCAAACTTGCACTCTGTAAAAGCACTGATCGCACCTCAGGGGTGGGGATGCGGGACCGTCTCCAACAATTACATAGCAGCACTGCTATTAGCCATAGTGGACAAGCGGTTCCTCCTCTCCCTCCACTGCTCAGAACTCTGCCCTAGCCAGCCTGAGCACCCCTGAAGCTGGAGAAAAGTGGGTTAAAATATATCCTCTTACAATTCGGAAAAGATGTTATCAATTTCAGGTCGAGGGCAAAGGTTGTTCAGGAAAACTCTGTATACTTCTGGAGTGAAATCTTCTTGAGGTATTGAATCATTCTGAGAAATAAAACAACAGGGTCAGTAAATGGTGTTTGCTTTCCTATCTTCCTCCCTTCCTGTTTTCCTCTGTTCTTTTCCTCTCTCCCTCCTTCCTTCCTCTTTTCTTCTATGGGGTCTGGTTAAACACTCAGAAGACATGCATGAGGCTAGCTGTGGGGTTCATTTGATCACTGACTTTGAGATATTAAAAGCCTTATTTTCTGTTGCTTTTTCATTATAATTTAAGTGTAAGAGTTTTCTCCGAAAGAGATGTTAAGGCAATTTCTTTTTCTATTTTTAAAAGATTTTATTTATTTACTTTTAGAGAGAGAAGAAGGGAAGGAGACAGAGAGGGAGAGAAACATCATTGTGTGAGAGAGAAACAGTTGCATCTCACACACTCCCAACTGGAGACTGGGCCACGACCTAGGCACGTGTCCTGACTGGGAATTGAACCGGTGCCTTTTTGGTTCACAGGCCAGTGCTCAATCCACTGAGCCACACCAGCCAGGGCAAGGCAATTTCTTAAGTACATTTCTAAAGTAAAGTTAGACCTAGTAAAAACAGGGTCTCTATAACATATTTTTAATTTGCTTTTTGTTTTGGTTTTAATCTTTATTGTGATAAAATATACATAATATAAAATTTACCATTTGAACCATTTTTAAGTGATCAGTGGCATGAAGAACATTCACATTAGTTTAAAAAATGTCAAGAACCTAGAGACAGACATTTTCAAAATGAAAAGATAAATTTCAATTTTGCATCTTCTTTTCCCAAATAATGTTCTTTCTGGTTTAAGTAATCTGGTAAGTTGTAAAACATTTTTCATAAGACAGGAATCATTATTTCTCAGTGACTCCTCCAGATCCTATTGTTTGGGAAGCAAATCATTGACATAAAAAGTCACTTTTGTGACTTATTTTCTGTGTCGTCGGGCTGCCATGGAAACCGGAAGCACGTATTCAAGCCTTTGTTAACAGGAAGGACGTTCTTTATGCCGTTTTCTTATTTCAGGTATGTGTTTATATGAGTATTTTTTTCAAGCCCTTAAACCAAAGAAAACATCCTTCCTTTTACCATATTCATAGGTTTTGAAATGTACTTTTATAGAAGTTTCTAAAAATTATTGTCCGAAGTTGTACACTCCTTGCTAACAGATAAGAAAACTTAGCTACCCCTTAGCTCAATGCCATATTCGTGGAATGAGCAAACAAAATAATATTTTCTTTACTAAATCCATTTATAGAGAAGGAAATTTTTTTTTGCAAAATAGAATTTTGAGCCAACCAAACAACACATATATCATTATACAAAGCAAGATGCATTAAGGTTAGTTACCTGGACACCAGTTTTGAAGTTATTAGCACAAGTGACCAAATCCAAGAGCAGTGGCAAGTTCCCATGAATGATTTTATTGGTGTTTTGCCACTCATAAAATGGAGTCAAGTACAACCTGTAAAACTGGTTTCCAAAATTCCATTTGATTCACAAGATGGAAGAAATCCTTTGCCTAGAGGATGGTCGTTTTTCACTTGTCATCCTTTCCTGTGACCTAGACACTCACATCTCCTTAAGTAGCTGGAAGTGACCCTCTCTACTCTACTTTTGGCTGAGAGACACAGGGAAGAGAAAGACTTAAAAATCAATAGTAAGGAAATGCTCACTAGCTTTGTTAGCCAACTGTTACTGGATTCTATAAACCCTGTGTGTGTTCTCCCATTCTCCCTACTATTTAGGTGCTATTTAGAGATCGACCCTCTCACCAGTTCAACTTTACACAGCACACACATAAATGGATTTTATCTAAGGATATCAGTCATTGTTTTCCTTCCCTTCTTGACCCTCCCCTTTTTTCTCCCTTCTTGTTAAAATCTCTTCCTCTGGGAGCCTTTCTTTCCACTCAGAGAGGGTTTTATCTTCCATCTGTGCTACCAAGGTGTGCCACCTTGCTTGTCTCAGGTTTCAACACTCATTTATTTAATTGGATTCTGTTCCCAGCTGTAGGAATCTATTACTCGCCAGCCTACAGATCTACACAAGCGGGGACCTGTGTTTTGTTTGCTAACGGCTCTACCTCCAGTGTGTGACATGCAGCAGATGCACAATAAATATTCACTAAACGAATGAATGCAGTTTATGAGAAAGGTGGAAGTTGATAGCAAGGACTTGTGTGTTATATGTTTCCCTTAAAATATTAGATTCAGCTATAGTCATTTACATAAGATTTCAGACACATAATCTCATATAACAATATGCTTTAGTAAGATTCTAACCATTGCTTATTTACTAGCTATGAATTAGGACTTCCTATTTAGGGGACAATTTAATGAGATAATCTAAAATAAACACACTTTATTATCATTACCAGTTGGATGTTAACCCATAGAAAAAGGAAAATAGTTCAATATAGCTGATTTTCCTTGTCTCATTTTTCTTTTGCCCAGCTTGACTGATGAGGACAACCTAAAGCCTTTGGAGTTAAAGGGTGAAAATATTTTGAAAAAATGAGTTAAAATGAGCATCATTGAAAGCTAAAGTGAAAGAGTATAGGAGAGATACGAAGAGAAAAGTTAGGAATGATTCTATCTAATTCCTTACATTTTAAACAAGGCTGAAAATGACAAAGCTTATTCACATATTTCCCCGCCCGGGATCTCACAATATAGTGAAGTAGATGGAACAGATTCATTCTGTCCTGTATGAGCAGAAGGAAGCCCAGGGACCCATATTCTAAAGATCATTCCCATTGTTTAAATACTCTTCTGTGAATCCTTCCTGACCACACCATCTTGAGAAGACACGTAGTTTTATGTGTCCACAATCCACCTTTATATAGCTTAATTATAGCATCTATCACAGTTTTCCCTTCCTTTTTTTACATTGCTAATTTTCTACTAGACCAAGCTTTTGAGTGAAGGAACTACATCTGTTTAATTCCTTTGTGTCGCCAGCATGATGCCTGGCATGTAACAGACACCCACTCAATGTTGTTGGAGAAACCCAGGCAATGGGATGAAACGTTAGGTCCTCTGTCTGCAGCCCAGGAGCTGGCCCACCACTTCACGCCTCCAATATGAAAACCAATGGTCCGTGACTATTTGTTGCTATTATCAGAACTTTTTGGAGGGAAAATGAAGAAGGTCAACATAGTTTGGATCAGGCACATTTATTTCAGAAACTACAAAGTACTGGCAAACTTTAAAAGTGGAGTTGATTCAGTCCCTCTCTTGTATACAAAGAATCTCAAAAGGAAAAATATTTTTTTAAAAAAGTCTTGCTGGTAGTACTGCTGGCATCTGTATTTCCATATTCCATATATGGTCATGGCATATCCACATGCCGAATCAAAAATAATAATGAGAAAAAACCCACACCTCTAAGAAAAATACTCAGATGATAATAGCAATGAGTATTTATTGAACACTTAGTGTATGCCAAGCATATGGGAGCTGTACTGGACTGTTTTCATTTAATCTCAAGTCAACTCTGTTGGCAAGGTTAGTGTTCTACCTTTACAGATATGAGCATTAACAGCTGAGAGGTTACAAAACTTGTCTAAGGTCCTTGGTGATATTGGAAGGGAGAGGTGTTATGTTTGAATCCAGGCCACTTGATTCCACAACACACTGTGAACCAGCAAACTAATGGTCAAATCAATTTTTAGATGTGGTTTCAATTTTCTTTCTATATATTTCCAGATTAAAGAATAACTCTATGACAAACGGGTATCTAACATTCAGAAAACTATTATTTAAATGTATTAATTTGTTGCAGCAGACTCTAATAAATCAAGAGTTTACATACAGATTTTATCTTAAAAAAACAATGGATTATTTTTCAGCAAATTCAGAGTTCCAAAATGTTCATAATATCTTTGATCTAAAGGTGTAAGTCAAAAGTGAAATAAGCCATAGCGTACATAAAATAATTGCAAGTAAACTACTCATAATAAACCTCTTAATGTGGTTTTAAAATGGAATTTTGATATTAGTAATTTTAAGAATCATAACTACAAAAATGATTATAGAAATAAAAATGATTTTATTTATATTTGGAATGTAAGACAGGAGAAAGACAGTTCTTACAGTTATTTTGTGAGAATTTTTTATTAGTTTTATTCATAGTATTCCTTAGTAAAATTTAAAGTATTCTTTTAATCCAAAAAATCCTATTTCCATAGATATTACATACATATTCATAACTCCAGTAAACTTTGTTATATAAAAGAAACACATAGATTTATTCTTATCTTCTTCATTATAATGCAAACATGTATACCAGTGCTGTGCCAAGGTACAATACAATTCCAAATGTCACTGAGCTCTTTTCAAGTTAATAAGTCTTAAATCAAAGGTAATTTGGTGCAAGTAAACTATTTTCAGTGCTCAGAAACTTTGTGGGTAAAATGGTAATTTTCTGAGTATGCAAAGGTCTTCAAAGGTTTCGCTGGAAAATGTGTTTAGATTATTAATAGAAGGGCGGTAATTGCTTTGTCTCTTTTTAGATATAGTACTGCTTATTAACAATTAAAGTAACTTGGACAAGCAACTATAATCTCTAAAGGGGTACCCTCTAAAGGAATGTGTTATTCCAGTGGATCATGTTGGCCGGGACACAAGTTCAAGTGCATTAATTATCCCTAACAATGTGAACAAAGATAATATTTTTAAAATCTCAACAGGATATCCACTGTGTTTCTGGTAATGTATCTATTTACAGAACACAATTAAATCTAGTTTGAATGGCCGCTGGTTATGAAATGGAGCTCCTGATATATAGTACTATCGACCATTTATGTAACCCTTTCTTCTGTGTAATATTTAAAATACCTCTTGTCAGTATATCCAAAATCTTTTTTGCTAATTAATGGATATTTTCTAGAGTCACTGTTCTGTAGATATGAAATTACAACAAGGATTTAAAATATAGTCAGTTTGTAGAAGTATTTATTTCCCAGCTCTAAAATTGTCTGTGCTTTTAAGATCTCTTAAAGCATTCTATTTCTGCAACTCCTCCAAGTAAAGCATACTTTACTATGAATAATGATCTTTCAAAACTTTTATGACGGAGTTTGATTATAGTTTTTAAAATTTTCCAATTTGTTTTTAGAAAATTGTCCTAACATTTACCTTATTAAAGATAATTTATTTTCAATTTAAACATGACTCCTGTTATTTGACTCTCATTTTCCTTTTGAATTGTCTCCAGTTGACACAGGGCTGAAGCCTGTAATAGACATAGTGGATTGTAAAAACTCAATTTATATTTATTGACTGAATTTTCAGAATCCAATTGTTTAGAAAATTGCAATTTACAGAGAAGTGATTGATGGGTTGACTCCCTATTCAGTTTTATTTTTTATTCTTTCTTTCCCTTCACTAGATTTATAATGACAAAATTTTTGATCATTGTATTTCACAAGTGTTATCCAATAAAGGTAAAACCAGGAGCAATTACAGAGGAAAAAAATTCTTTGTTCATCTCTCTGAATTAATCTCTCATACTTTCTTTCTATGCGTAAATGCAATATTTTTTTAGTTACTCAAACTGGTCAATTCTTTCCAGCCTCAGGGCTTTGCACACATTGCTTTTTCCTGGAGTGAGCTTCCCTTACTTTCAATGGCATTCCTTTTGCTCATAGAATCCCCCCCAAGGTACAGGTGTAAGTCAAGGCATCTGACTAGCACCCCCAGACTCTGTGGTCCTTAGATCCTGGGACTTTATTGTTCACTACCATATTCTCAGTACTCGAGGGGACACAGTAAGAGTTCAAGAAAACATTTCTTGAGTTAATGGCAGCACCTCAACAGTTAGATCTATGGTACTCCAAAGCATCTAAGGAAAGAGCAATAATAAGCAAGTCTGATAATTTTATTTTGCTCACTAAAGTGTGGGGTCAAGTGTTTTGGGAGCTTTTCCACAGCTCCACCCTATGGTTTGCAGCATCATCCTTTTTCACTTACAGCAGGAAAGTGGTGGTGGGAAGGCACTCTTGCTTCTTCTCCTTTCTTGTTACCTCCCACAGTTGTTATTAAACTTTATTCACAACAAGAATTGACTGGTGAATCTCATAATGGCACTCACACTTTCCCATGATTCAGTCACAAGTTTAAGAATGGCTCCTCAACTTCCGTCAGCTGGACTGAACATTGTCAGTGTGTTTCAAGAGGTTCAGGGGTTCTCCCTACAGTGTAAGTGTTATCTTTGGGAAAGTGCTTACTTGTTGCTTAGACACCAGGGCAAAAATAATTTGTAATAGTTCTGCATACAGTGTGAGAAAAAGGCTTCATGCAATAGATTCATTTCTTCCAGAAACAATGATAACAAATCAATTTAGAGCCAGGAGTGTAGAAATGCATTGAAACGAAGGCAAAGCACTTTGGTTCAGGTGGTAAACATGTATCAAGTGCCTTGAATATGTTGGGCATAAAAAAAAAAAGCACATATCACATGCTTGTCCTTTCATCTAGTTCTCCACCCCATGATCAAAGCAGGCTGTCTCCAAACTGTTTGGATCCTGCATCCCTCTCAGCAAGAACTTTTTGAGCACAGCCCTACAGAGTATGTACATATATTCCTTTATAAACATGTACTGCTATACTAATTGCTTATTAACTTAGAATTCTTAAAATAAAAAGTTTAAAAAGAATGAGAAAAGATGAAATTTATATTTCAAATATCTTCCTAACCATAATCCATAATGATTAGCTAATATCTCAAGGGACACCAAGAAAAGATTTATTATTGAGAAGTGTAAATTCTTGATAATGTTAATAGTTTTGGGGCAATATATTTTTATATTAGACAAGAGTCTTTCTGGATTAAAATACTGGGATAAGAGAACTGTAAGAAAATATGATTACAGTGACCCTATATATTGTAAATACTAACAAATATGCCCTTTGTTTTTCTTAATTAAAAACATATTTGAGTAGCATTGGGGCAAATCATATTTTAGTACAATTCCGTAAAGTTATTTAGTAGTGGGAATTTTAGAAAGGCAACATGCTTACCCTTGAAGATGGAAGACTACAAGCCTCTAAAGCAGTCTCAACTCGTTTCCGATCTGCTGAAAACATACGGTATATGCTGCAAAGCGAAAGCACAACATAAGAGAAGTGTTAGGAAAGAGCACTTGCAGGTGATGTCAACAAAGACATTCCATTGAATCAAACCTCTTCGTCACTCATCTTCAGGGCAATAAAAGCTCCCCATTGCTCCAGGCATCCGTACATGTGTTCTGAAAGACTGATGCTTGTGCTTTTTATAATCAAAGTGTCTAATATAAAATCAATATTTTCAGACGATGGTGATGACTCAATTAAAAACACATCACACTAAACAGTCTCTAAAATTGAGCATTAAAATAAATATCCTTGCCAACTCTGTCCCCTTGCTGCTACGCATTGCTCTAAATGTGTATGTTGTTAATATTACTAATAATAATTAATTATTTAACTTTTATATTAACAGGAGTCCACTGGTAGCTAGGAAGTCAAAGGTTAAAGGTATTTGGCTGAATATGATCTAAAGATGTGCTTTCTTTGGCCGATAATTTGGCTTTTAAAAATATATGGTAACTTAAGTACTGGGCCATTTAATACAATAATTTGGATTTATCAATTCTGTTGAAACAGTAGAAAATGTAGTGTCTGGAACCTACTAGTCCCATAGGAAATATGGTGGAGTTGAGTTGTCATTGTTCTTTTCTTTTCTTTTCTTATTTATTTAAGATTTTATTTATTTATCTTTAGAGGGGAAGGGAAGGAGAGAGGAAGAGAAATATCAATGTATGGTTGCGTCTCGTGCGTCCCCTGCCGGGAACTGGCCTGTAACCCAGGCATGTGCCCTGACTGGGAATAGAACTGCAATCCTTTGGTTCGCAGGCCCCCGCTCAATCCACTGAGCTACACCAGCCAGGGCGTCACTATTCTTTTAGCTGGGACTTCACTCTTCATTTTCTTCCTGATCCTGGCCCATGTCATCTTTTGTTTTCCCTGCCTGGCTTCGGTTGATATTTGAGTTTGCACCCCTGCTTTCAAGTTTATCAAGGTAGTGTCATCTTGGTGTAAAGAGACACCACGGCTACCCAATTTCCATTTCTAGAATAGTTCTTAATCTCAGGTGATCTTTTGGGTTATCAGCAAGATTCCCCCACTCCCTCCACACCCTTCTCGCTTTAGTGTTTCTTGAAAATGATGCCGCAGAGAAGGGGAGGCCCAGGAAACCCTCTCGGAGGAAGCCAGCTGCACTGATGTAAACTCGGAGTGTGCGGGAGGGCGGGAGGCGCTGCACTTCCATTCTCCCACTTGGGCCAGCGGAGAAACAGAACAGAGGCACGGCATGGATTCAACTCAGTCTCCGAGAAGAAGAACACGAAAGATGGGAGATGCTTCTGCAGCTTACTTTTTGAGAGGAATGCGCCCTTCTGGAGTGACTTGCAGCTTAAGTTTAGTGTAGCTGTGGGAGAAGCAGAAAAATAATGTTTCATTTTTTAAATGCTAATATAATACATTGGAAAAGGGCTCCGGCACATGTACAGTCTGCTGGATTTTTACGGAATGCCCAAATCTCTACAGTTGGTCCTCAGAGCAAGAAATAGAGCAGTATCACACCAGCAGCCACCCAGGAGCTGCTCTCTCACCGTCTTCTAGAATCTGTTCTCCAAAAGAGAACAGCAATCCTGACTTTAAATAACAAAGATTATTTTAGCCTGTTTTTGCACTGTATATAAATGGAATCACATTCTTTTATGTCTGGCTTCTTTCACTCAATGTTATGTTTTTGGGATCCATCTGTTTTTTTGTTTTTGTTTTTTTGTTTTTTTTGCTTATAGTTATATACTCACAATAACATTCCATTGTGTGAATAAAGCTGTATTTATCTCTTCAACTGCTGCTGGACATGTGGATAGAGAGAAGCAGCAGAATTTTCAGGCTCCGCTGATGGGTGGGTGACTTTGGACCACCACTTTAAGGAACTGCACATGGTATGACACAGCAGTATCATATCTAGTTGTACATACAACAGAAATGCTCATAACATGTTCATTAAAAGACATGTTCTATAATGCCCATGGCAGCTATTCATAGGGAAACACTTATCTGGAATGGACATTTGTAATAGATAATAAATGATTAGCCAAAGAGGCGTTTTACCAGCTATAACACGCTATGTTTCAGATAAAACATTTATCTCTGTGTTGCCTTCTACTAACATTGCCTGGCACAGCAGATGTTCAAGAAATGTCTGTTGGGTAAGGATGGTAAGATCAAAGATGGTGAAAGAAAAGGTAAAGAAAAGGGAGAGGAGGAGGCATGTATGAAAGGTCAAAAGTCAAGGTGACAACTAAGGAGATGACATGAGATGATAAGAAAGCATTTCAGTGAAGACTTGTGAGGTACTGACTCAAACTAAAAGGAATTCATAGAAGAGTAAGAGAGAAGTGTGGGCTGAAGTCTTAGGTCTGAAATGATGGGTACGGTCTACAGAAGAAAAAGGAAGAGAGAAAGATATTAAATAAAATAGAGGACCACCTAGAAATATTTCCACTTCGGTTTTTAATTCACGGCTGCCCATCTCTTGGATATCCATAGCTTACAAAGTGAGCACACCAATTCACTGTGACTCATCGGGCAGAAATTATTGTCTTCCTCAGTCAAATAATTTTTAGAAAGACTATTGTAATTCCATAATGATTGGGTAATTCTGATTTGCTTTTCTTTCTCTTTTTTCCCTGCTCTTTCCTTTCTTTTTTGTCACTGACACTTGCTGTGTCTGTCTACAAGGACCAGAATCAGGACATCGGCCGACTGATTCGATTTAAGAGAAGTAATCGTAGCATCTATCAGAGATCTAAGAATCTGGAGAGATGAATACCATGTGTTGCTAATTTTCTTCCTCAGATTAATAATTGATATGACACAGGCAGTTGTAGAAGCAGAGGACTATCTGAAATTAAAAAATTTTTTGGACCTGAGCATAGATGACAGGATTTGGAAGTGTCTCCTCATTGTGTGCCAAAGGCATTGATATTCAGAGGAGCTCAAGGTAACATGGGTGTGCAATTCAAAGAAAAGAGCGATCTTTCTTGGAAGTCTTCCAATGTCAAACCCTGGAGAAATCAGTTCCCTAACAAATCCCAAAGGGAAATATATGTTTATCAACATGAGGAGCCAGGACAGCCTAAACAAAAGGCTCACAAAGGAGAAAGGAAACTGACTCAGAAGAAGCAACACCCTTAGCAATAAAATTAGAGCTACTTACGCTTTTTCCAGAAATGCATCCCTGGACATGTTCTGGGCCAGCAGGTTTGTTGCCAAACTGAAAACCTCATTTGTCCATTCCTGGAAAATGTAAGTCACACTTGTATTAGCTTAAATACTGTACAGTCATTAGACACATGTTTAACTAGGCTACCAGGAAGACAAATTAGTTCAATTTGTATGCCTAAGGGGTTTTTTTTTGTAAAAATGACATAATTAAATTCAAATCCCTGAGTAACCACTCCTTTCCTAAGAAAATGTTCTTTACACATAAACAATATTTTCCTGCTTTTTAACAATCCTTAGTGATAGGAAACTGGTATGTTGCCTTTCAACATCTGAACACTTCTTCCTAGTTTTCTTGTACTATGAATAGATAAAGAGTTCTAGAAAAGTTTAAAATATAGTCAGATATATTTCAACACACCTGTAAATGTAATTGTCCCACTTTACTACTCAAGCCAAAGCAGCTAAACTGGGGATCTTTAAATGTTAATTACAGTTCTAGAAGTTCTCTAAACCAGTTGCAGTCACATCATTCAGTATCCAGTTCTTTGCCTCGCCTAATTCTGTCGGTCCTTCACTTCTTCCTAATCTTAGTCCCTACCTCACACCATTCACCAGGGATCTCACCCTGTTTTTAAGAAAATGGAAAAGAGCAAATCTACAAATAAAGGTGAAGTGCTATTCTGGAAGACAATTTTGAACATACAATTAACATTTTAGTACAAAAAAGAAAATTCTCTAAGAGGTGATATAACAGCTAAGTAATCTAATTATCCAGTGTTATTGCTGACTTGGCTTTCTCCTCAATGAAATCATGTTTTCTAGTTCAACATTTTTCTACCTAATTTTGTTATTTTTACTCTTATTTCTTGGTCTTCTGTTTTCTGTCTCCTAACTTAAGGCAGAGATAATACACCATCGTGTAATACAGTAACATTTGAGGCAGGACTTGAGGAAAGGGGGCATAGAGCAATGAGAAAGAGAACAGGACATTCTAAGCAGAGAAAATTGGGGGACAAAAACAGAAGTCAGCACACAAGGCAGGACTTGGAATGAATGGTAAGTAGTCTAATATAAATTGAAAAAGAATGGGGAGTTACAATAACAACAACAAAGAAGTTAAATAGGGGCCAGAGTATAAACAGCATTGAATGTCTATTCTGGTATCTAAAAATGATTTAGCAAGACAATAGAATATCACCAAAAGGCTTTTACTTTTTATTGTGTCAGGTGAAGGCACTACGGCCTAGACTGTGTGGTAGGGAGATTATAGGGCAAAGATGGATTTGCGGTTGTGAAACCACACAGGGAGAACTCAGTTCGGAAATTGTACTAGTCCAGATGAGACTTTGAACTCTATCTGTACACTGCTGGTGGAGGACTTGAAAAAGACAGTGCAGAATAATATGAGTGAAGCCAAATAATTGACCACCAAACTTGATGTACACACAGAGAATCACAGAAATAACTTTTTAACAGCTGTAAAATAAAATTTCCTCAAATCAGATCTTAAGCTGAGAGTACTAATTACTGATGCTGATTTTAAAAATATGATTCTGGTTTAATATTTTCTAGCCTAAGGATCAAGCTTTAGACATTTCTATGTCCACAGCAACTTCATGCATTGGTAAAAGTATTTACAATTGGGGGCAATGTAGCATTTTGTATGCTTACTGGGGGCCAACTCCACACCAGAAATAGGTGCAGCGAAGGAATTAGAAAGAGTTGGGGAGATTTAGCTGGTCCTGACCTTTTGGTTGAAAACTAAGGCCTGTATTATTCCCAATCCAACAGAAATACAGGGTAGGGCAAAAGTAGGTTTATAGATGCGAGTACATGAAACAAAGAGTGTATTCTTATGTTATTATTTATTTATTTATTATTGTATTTTCCATACAACCAACCCCTATAAGTGAACTACATTTAATTTTCTAGTACCCACATTTAAAAAGGTAAAAAGAAACAGAGGAAACTGATTTTAATAATATATTTTATTTAACTCAACATTTAAAATATTAATATTATTATTAATCATGTAATAATATACTTTACATCCTTTTTATGTGCTAAGTCTTTGAAATGAGGTGTGCATCTTACACTTATGGCTCATCTCAGTTTGCACTGGCAACCTTTCAAGTGCTCAATATAGCCACACGTGTGGCTGGTGGCCGTGGCTGCCACATTGGTCAGCACGGGTCTTCTAGATCCCTGGCCCTTTCCATGAATCCTTTACAAAGCTCAGAGTAGGAGAACATCATCCTTTTATTTTTTAATTTATTTATATATTTTTTACATTATCCTTTTCTTCGCTGCACAGCCACAGTCGGTTCATTAATAAAGTAAAGCATAATTTATTTTCATCACATTCTCAGAATGTGACCATCTAAATTTTCGAGTATGGAATTCCTTGAATCCACTGGCCTCCTGCAACCTTTTGAGATACACAAAAGATCTAATTCAAGCTGAGCCAAAGACTTATGGAAAAAAGAAGTGACCAAGAGAACTTTATTTATTTTTAATTTTTATTTGTTTGTTTATTTCTTATTTGTTGTTGTTGTTTCACTTATTTATGCATTCATCAGTTAATTCTGATATATGTCCTGACTAGGAATCAAACCCTCAACCTTGGCATATTGGGATGATGCTATAATCAAAGAAGTTACATAGCCAAGGTTGTGATCTTTAGAAATAACCCAATTCTTGGTTTGGTACTGGTCCCTAACTACTTCACATTGAGCTAAAACAATGTGTCTAATTTTGGATTCCCTAAAAGCAGACCCTGAGACAAGAAGTTATGAGTATTAGGTATATTACAAAGTGCTCTCTGAAACATAATAGGAAAGTGAGCAGAGCTGGCATAGGAAGAAGGCAGAAGGGTGAGATACCAAGCAAAGTCAGGCAAATGCTAAGTTTGGCTTAATTTGTTCCTGTGTGAACAAAACCCCAAAGTTGAGTTTTCTGATCAGGGGCAAGGGACCTGAACTATGGCATTCCTGTGCCTCTTAATCTTAGTTAAGGCTGCTGGGTGGGGAGAACCCCAGGCACTTCCTACTCTCCATGATAGCAGGCAAAGGGGGTCCCAGCATCCAGAGGAAGCTGCACACGGACACAGGTACTGGTTGCTGGGAGTAAAAGCCCACCAAGGTGATGTGTTTGAGAATGGCAAAGAAATAAGGAGGGATATGGGCAGAGCATTTCTAGAACCTGCTACGACAAGGTAACATATTTCAAGATTTTGGGGTACCAGTAGTAGCTATATTATGTAAACAAGAGATGTTCAACCAAAGGCACGAGGATATTGGCTCACATACATAGGTTCTAGAGCAGTGCTTCTCAAATTTTCATGTGCATACAGATTACCAGGGGTCTGGTAGAAATGTAAGTGCTGACACAGGACATCTGGGGAGGGGACAGAGAATCTCTATTTCCTACAAGCTCCCAAGTGAGGTCTAGCTGGACCATACAACAGAGGAGCAAAATTCCAGAGTCAACTTGCAGCACTGACCCAAAGTTTGTTAGAAATGTAGGACTTAAGGCTCCACACCAGATCTTCTGACTTAAAATGCAGAAAATACCTGCATTTTTTCATGAAACTTTAATATATTTATGCCAATTAAAGTATGAGCACACTGCTGGGCCAGCAACAACATTTTGAATATCAGGGTGTTCCAGGAAGCATTTATTCTCATCTCTGTCCACTCAGTTTCCAAGCAAATAAAGAAATTACTCTGGTTATTAGTTTTAGAAAAATCAAAGGCCCGTAAGGCTGTATTAAGAACAACATGACTAAGGAGACAAGGCCAGAGCAGCTTAAAGGAGCCTCTGTCCATCATGAGATTATGACATGCTTTCCGAGGGCCAGACAGATCCGATCCTGGCACTACCGTCAGTCCCGAGCTGGGCCCTAGTTAGTTTGGCTTTAGAAAGACAGCTTTTTATTTAATCTGGAGGATTTATTTTCTACTTTCAGAGACAAAGTTCTGATGATTGCCACTAAGCTTGGTTCAGCCCCCACTATTTAAACCCTGAAGCTCCTTAAGTGACATTTTCTGCCTTGTGATCAATCTCTTCTCATAAAAAGAATAACAGAGACATGAACTAATGAAAATGGATATAAAGATCACCTCCTGTGGAGGTTCACCTGGAGTTTAAATGTGCATGTTTGAATATTACTTCTGCGAGATTATTTCTGCAATTCCCTTCCCCCAGGTTCCAGTGCAGTTAACATGTCAGTCTCTTCACCATTAGAGAGATCGAGTTGTCCTACCATGTCACAGAGTTTATTTCTAAAGCTATTTAAGTCACACTTAGCACAGGATTTATATGTTTGTTTAATACTACCAACAATTATTTCACAACTCTCAATCACTCTCACAGGTATTGTTTGAGCACTTACTATGCACTAAGCTAAGTTCTTTGCATCTAATATCATAATTCTTACAACTATTCTCAAGGCGGTAGGTACTGCTTTTAGCCTCATTTTATACCTACAATTCAGTTTCATAGCTTTTATAAAACTTATGTCCTCAGAGCTAATGAAAGTCACAGTTTGGGATTAGATTGCTTGTTTCATGGGCGCCAATACTTATACTCATAGATACTGTGCTTTCAGTCATTTTGTCATAAAGAATTTTAGGGTTGCTAATACAGATACTCAACAAGATAAGAAGAGAAGTAAATCCACCTAGCTGTTTTCTGTATAAAACACCAATTTAGCACCTATTGTAGGCTAGACACTATTTTAAGCATTTTTCAAACAATTAACTTATTTAATTCTCACAACAACCCTATGAGATATATTCTATTTTTACCATCCCATTTTACAAATGGTGAAGGAATGTCAGGAGAGATGATAAGATGGAGAGAGAAGGGAGGTTAGTCATAAAATGCAGGTCAGAAGTCTTGAACTTTGATAGAGATAGGTCATACATTCAACGTAAACTTGCTTGTAAAGAGAGATTCAGTCATAGCATGATTCACATTTCCCCTAGATCCAAATACCCATGCAGCAGTTCAACAGAATTCCTAGTGCTCACAACAATAGTTTCTCCACTGGCAATTCACAGCCCTTAACT